TTTGCTTCTACTTTGCATTAATTTACTTTTTTTATGTTTTGTTTTCTCTTTCTCTTTACTGCTGTCTGTTTTCTTTTTCTCTTTACTGCTAGTTTTTGGCTCGAGCTCCTGACTTGTGTCTTCGTTCCCTTTCTTTACTCTGTCTTGAAATCCTTCCTACAAAGCAACGTCTGAGCTCCCCTCCACCCCCACTATTAACAGCACTCTGGCAGCAAACAACTCTTCACCACTTTCTCTACCCCGGCAAAAACTAGAAGCACATTTCCTCCTCCCTTCCACCTATCACCTCCTAACCGTCTCCCTTACGCTGTGAGTAGTGGGATTACTGTTGTCTCCAGCTCCCACTGTATAATTATCCAGGACCCCATCTCAGTGTGGGATTGATAATGGAGTAAGCAGTGTCTGAGGCATGGCGGAGCATAAACCTTGACAAATTCAGGCATGTGAAAAAGATGCTGTGGCGCATTTTGTTCCACAGTGACCTACGAGCCCGCATTAGCCTGATCAACGGCTGGTATCCTAATATTCTTGATAATTTGATTTAACGTATTTCAGTGACCGCTTTTGATTGAAAACTCAGGCTGTAACGCACCAGGCTTGCCGGTGCCAAAAAATCTACGCCACGTAGCCATTTAACCCACCCACCCAACTCCCCTCCCCCTGCCTCAAATCCCACACCTAAAAAATGTGCCCTTGCACTGCCATCTTTTGTGCCCTCTGCAATCCACTTCCTTCTCCCCTCTTCCCTCACATTCTACCTAACTCTTTCCGTACTTCGCGTATCCGCGGCAAAAACCAGCAGCAGCTTTCTCCTCCTTCTCACCCATCATCTCCCTCCCCCTCTCCTTTACATGGCCTAGGCAACTGCCAAAGAATGCAGACCACATAGCCACTCAATCCACCCCACCAACCCTTCTCCTATGGCTCCATTCCCCGCGTTCGTAATCCTCACACAGCAACCCTCACCACCACCCAGTCTGCGGTATCCAACTTCCTTTGCCGCAGTGGGGTAAGGGAACCTAAAAAAAATCGTTCGCAAATCGTGTACGGTTCCGGTCGAGCTAAGTCGTGTTTTTTATAGTTGCCGAAAGACGCATATGGATGAGAGGTTACCCTTTGTCACCCACTTTCAACTCTGTAACCAGCAAAGCTGGGGGCGGCTGTAATTTTGGGGGCATATATCCACGCCATGTATCACTCTTGCGTTTTAAAATCGCTCATACGCGCTAGATCTCGAGTACAGACCCCCGAAAAAATATGTAAGTCTCTTGAGCGGGAAACGATTTCTTGGGCCAGACGAGATAGAAAGCTGAGCAGCGATATTCTCTGCATATGTATGAGCTAAAGATGTTAAATTCAGCTATTGCATGCGCTTGTACCGCGCGTATGGTTACGTCAAAGTTTGCAGTTGGCACTGTACCAACTCGAAAAGTAGCCAGAAACAATAGCTTGAATTTTGTCAGAATATTTATTGTTCGTATAGAAAATTGTATATCGAAAGTGACCTTCGATTTGCACTTGCTTCATAAGTTAGGGCACTTCAAATATATTCGTAGCAAATTGGCTATTTCGTTTACCAGACAAGCTGCAGTGCTGAAACTTTGCAAGGATATTCTATATTCACGTACGGTCTTAATTCAGCTTGGAAGTGAAATTTCCTGCACGCAGTTATGAAAAATACTCAATTTTATCGCAAACTCAAGAGCGAGTAAATTTTACAAATTTCATAATCTTCTTCGGGCTCCCTTCAAATTTGCGTTTTTTATGCGTTTTTGCCGTGCAGCGCTAGAGCGCTGCAACAGGCAGCAAAAACGCATATT